TTAAAGATTTTGCATTTTAAATTTTGTGTATATGGTCTGGAATTTTATGTGAAATTGTGGGTTTGATCTTTGACCTCTGTTTACTACAGTCCTGATTTGGCACTAATTTGATAGCAAGCCATAAGGGCCTACTGTAAACAAGCTGCTCACTTTACATAGCTATGTTTGGCTCCTAAATGAAGAAGTATGTAGGGAATATACTTTGGGTACTGTAGCCTCCTAAAGAAATAATAAAAACCACATCACTGCTTAGTTCTCCAGGTAACGTTTACATTTGGAGAAAATAAGTTGCATGTCTAATAGAGAGAGAAAATGCAATTCTTATCCATCTTAGGTTTGTTTGTTTAACATCATTCTTTAAAGCATTTCAGAGCTCAGGCCGTCTCTTTTTTGAAGTCAGTGGGCGCTTTTCCATTGATTTTAAAAGGGTCAGGATTAAGTTTAAATTGGTAGGGTCTAAAAGGCAAAAATGAAAATGTTCAAAGTCTACAAATCTCTCACTGATCCACCATCCAGAAAGGAAGGACAAAAGCCTTCTCCAAGGTCTGTAATGTACATGTTGATTCCAGAACTCCTGTTTTTCATACATTTGTAGACTTCATGACGGAAAGCAACTTCCAGTCAGGACTGTAATTGATAGCATATGGAGCAGTACATACTTACACCATGGACTTGTAAAGCTGCTGGGGGAAGGGAGATGAAAGCTGCTTGTAAAAATCAACAGACTGTCTGTACACATCTTCCACAAGTTGTCCTGCACTAACACTACACAGCATATCCTGCCTGCAACCCACCCCAGGCAGATTCCCCAGCTCACAGGTTCAGGCCCTCAGTTATGGCCTTACACACAGGAACTGATCCAGAAAACGTCTGCTCGTAGACATTTAACTCAGAAATATGTCTCATCAACCTGCATGAGTTTAGCACTTTTTGCACTAATCTGGCACTAGTAACCATGCCCTCTGAGAGGTAGGTATAAGCAAGGTCTTCAACTTTCTCCTGTATCACCCAGCTGGGACCATCCATCGCAGCAGTGAACTTACCATCACCTGGGACCTATACTCACAGTGGAGAGCAGATGGTGGTGGGAACACCTAAGTAACCTGAAGGAAGGGCTGTGTTCCTACTTGGCAGAGGTGGAAACCATAACCTCTTTCATTTTCTGGCTTAGGGAGTCTTGCTAACTGTGACCAGAGCCCAGTAATCAAGGATGTGGACTCTTCTCAGCTAAGAATGTGGTTCATCTACAGTGACGAAGTGTAAGCGCAGAGAACTGGTGGGACGTGGGCAAGCAAACACAAAAGGCCAGCTTATTTCTTCTTCAGACACCCAAGTGCATTGAGTATCTAAAATGGAGTGACCCTGGTGCCCGATGAAGCTACCCATGGATGAGTTCAGGAGGCTAAAGCAACTAGAGGTAGGAAACTGCGTAATGACTCTGTTGGCTTATGTGGTCCCAATATCAGACAAGCCAGAGTTCAGGGAGACACATAGATCAAGCACTGTCCCAGATCATATGAACCTGAGGTTGACAAAGCAATCATTGCAGTCTCCAAAGCTTGTGACCCAACAGAGGAACATCAACTTCTGTTAACAGAGACCCATGCTTGTCTAAAGAATATCAGATAGAAGTACAGCATCAAAGTAAGGGAATTCATGCAATTAAAACCCACAATAGTCTCTTCTGTCTCCATTGCTCAGAAGTAACCCAAGATGTTAAGAGCCTGATGGGAACCACTAGAGAAGGTGGATGTCATTTCTCAGGCTGTGTAGCCCCTTCTCTTCTACCTCAAAATGACTGGCAATAGAATGGGTGGAGTCAAAGATTACCACCTTGCAGATTACTTAGTTTAATCAACCTTGAGATTTTCTAGCAAATCAACTCCGACAGTGTCTATTCCATCTTCACAGGTGCTGTGTGCTACCCAGCAGGAGGAAGATGCTACTCACAGGGAGAATCAGTCCTGTTCTAATTTTGATGTGGGTAAGCCAGTAACGCCAGGCACAAACCTGTACTTCTGTTGCCTTTGCCCAGGTGTAAAGACAGACTTAGCAATAGCAAGTCATGTCACCTTTCTGAAGATACTTCCCCTGGGGTATTTTTTGGGCTAACCCAGATTCCCTACAGTACAGCAAGGATAACAATTGAAAATACACAATCGTGGAATCATACATGGTGCATTCTGACCATATCCCCAGTGATGCGACTCTGGTGCCAGATCTCTGCTGTGCTGTTTTGCTAATGGTGGTCCCCAGTAAAAACACCATATATTTCCATGGTTTTGAAGTGGATCTAGGCTATTCTGCTGGCCCACCTGGCAGAGGACAACCCTGTTTTGAAGGACCCTCAAACAGAACTCACCTTTGGGCAGAAGCTTGCAGCACAGCTGCACGCCATGAAAACTGGAAATAATATTTTCAGTCAAAACATCCTGCAGATCCCATCTTCTGCTTCCACTTCATGGGACATTTCCTCATAATATTTTAAGTGTCAGTCCCAAGGGCTTTAATATGGTTATGCCAATCATCTCAGCATCACTTTCAGCCTGAAAACAGCAATGCACAAGTATAGAGACATTTGTACATACTGAGTTGGTTTTTCTAATGGAAGGTGGTAACTGAGCAGAAATAGTTTCTAAAATGTTGTTTACTTTCTTAATAGGGCTGGATTATAACATAAAGAAAGGTTAAATTTGTCTGAATGACTTAGGACTCTTATACATGCAAGACAATCAGAGCATTTTAATAAATACAGGATGCCATAAGGGACCCTGACATGTTTAGAAAGAGTGGACATGTCTGGACCCAGTGTGGAACAGAGATCCGTCACTGCTAGATTGACTTCAAGAGCAATTCAACAAGGGCTTCACGTTGTCAACATTATGGAAAACCTGTTCCAATAGCTTTCTTATGCAAGAGAAAACCACAGTCACAATTGTAATTTAGGCAGTGAACCAACAAGAATGAAGCAAAACAACAGCAACTGTCCTCAAGAGATATTTTGGGCTGCTCCTCTCCTCCCACTCCCCTTACACTCTTTTTCAATCTCTTACCAGTTTGTGCATTTTTGGCAACAAAGAACCATACTGCAGCGATCACTGGCAGGCTGGCGGGGATCGCTGTGGCTTTTGGCTACCAAAACTAACTTCCCCAGCCTGGGGAAACATTGACCTCTTTGCTCTCCATTTTCAGTTGGAGCAGAGGTGACTGTGGGTGAAGGAGGCAGAGGAATGGGAGAACTTTCCTCAGTCCAGCAACTTTTGACAACCAGTTTCTGCTTTTTTTCTTGCCCCAGGATCTGTTATCCAACAAGTGCAAATTGAGAATGACAAATAAGAACATTAGTCTGGTGTTTCTGCTAAAATGATCTTCCTTGAAGTAGCTGATGTTGACACTTAAATTGTCAGCAGACTTCCAGTTTAGTGCTCCAGTTGGAAGAATGGGTCCATTCACACTTCCCTCTGAGCTATTGTTTCAATTCTCTCTAGACTGGGCAAATATCACTGCAGCAGTTTACACTCCAGTTCCACTATAAAGGGTTTTTTGCAACCATAACCCGAATTGCCTAGAAACCCTTTTTTTTTTTTTTTTTTTAAATGTAAGCTTAGACTCCAGAGAATAATTACACAATGTTGTAAAAATAGTCTGCACAAATTTACATAGCCGTGAAATATTGGAGCCGGTTTTTTCCAGTGTACCTATGTATACATGGCTGCAGCTAGCTCCACTATTTACAGAGGACTCACTGGAGCAGTGATCACAGAAACTGGTATTTCAAGTTAGGCCACACACATGAACAAAACATTTCTAGTTATAAGGAAAGGTTTTGTATTTTGGGGTGTTATCACTAACTGAAGCAGTACCTTGCCACTTTGGCCTTTCCTATATCACCTTCTGGGTGGTTTATGTAGTCAAGTAGGAGAGTATTAATTTAGCTTCAGTTTCTTTCCTTCAATTGTGCATTTCTTCCATTTTCAAACAAGTTAATCATACTGAGGGGCTGTATCCTCATTTCCCTCTCTGCAGTCAACTTTGCTTCTGATTATTTCTAGTAGGTATCATATCTCCTTGCCTGCTGGAAGCTCAGTCCCCAGCCTGCTCTCCTTCATGCTGACCTGTTCTCTTCTCTCTTGATGCATCTTGCTGTTGGGAGGACCACAGGTCCCACTGTAACTAAGCAATCAATCCCACTCCTTCCTAAATTAGGAGAAAACTACTGTAGCAGGTGGTAGAAAAACTGCCCACTGGCCCTTGTCTGCTACACTAATTGTCAGGACTTTGGACATTTTCAAGCCCAGCTGGTCAACAAGATACAGTAATGCAGCCCAATACTTCCAAGGTACAGTATGAGCTCTCTGGATTGCAAGCAGTTATCTTGTCCAGAGCCTGAAGATGCAGTGGATTTATTCTTCCTTTCTATGCTTCTCTAGAATCCTATTCCTGTCTCCCATATAATTCTGCCAAGCTCCCTCCTTGCTAGTTCTGACTCTCCTTTTAAGGAGCTTTTTTAATTGTTGTTTTCCCCAAGAGAGTTTAAGTAATCAAATCAAAACTAACAGAATGAACAGATAAAGCCACAGCCTGGAAATAAACCCATTGGCTAAAATCTCTGTAAAGAAACTATTGAGGAAATACAAGTGAAGAATACATGTCAGAAGTAAGAATTTATGCAAGTGACTACATGCATATGGGAGCAACAGCTTCCAACTCTTGCAACCTAGTGCTGAGGAACTAATATTTGACCATTTGATTTAGGCACTGATTTGAAGGAGTTAAATTCCCAGGCTGCCTTTTCAGAGCAGGGTGGGGCATTGGGGAAGTCAGAGAGTGAAATTAAAAGGTACCTGAATGCCCTGGGAAGGAGCAGCAAAACCTTCTGCCAAGCTCCCCTTCCTCTCCTATGCTACAATTACTCTCCAGCGGAGGGTGTCCAGGTGCCCTCGGCTGCACACACCTGCGTGTGGAGTGACCCACGCAAGCAGCCTTTCCCACACCAGGAAGCAAGTGCCACATCCCAGTCCCGCTCACTTCCCCTCACAGCCAGCTGGCCCCACTGGAGTGAGAGCTCATGGCATGGCCAGTGGCTGGGGCGTGAGGGCAGGGACATGGGCATCCTCCCCGCTTCGGAGTGGGCATCCTGGAACACATCCTTTGTGGGGCCGGGCACCGGGAGCGGGCCCCTCTCCGGTCCCTGGTACAGCACACACAAGGTAAGTGCCGGCCCTGCAGCACCATGCTGGGGCCCAGGAATGTTTGGGCTTGGGGAGAGCGGGGTAATCATTCCACCCTCTCCCCACCATCCTCCAAAGAGCCCCCTTCCACCACCTGTTTGCTACTGACACCTGCTTTGTATTCACCTCGTTGTTCAGCCCTCCCCACCCTGGTTTTCCCCTCCAAGCAGTCCTTTCCAAGTAGGAACAGGGCAGAGAGCTGTGCTGTTCTGTGCTAGAGCATCGCTGGTTTTTGTCATCGGTGTTTCTGTTGCTGTCAGTGCTGACAATGTATTTGGGCAACTGCAAAAGTAAGACTTGAAGCGGCCCCCGAGAACTAGCAAGTTGAAGCATCTGCTAACAATAAAAATGAATTGGAGGTTGATTAAACCCTTTACCTTTTCCCTGCTTTTTGCTTCACAAACAAGGAGGCATGGGAGGATACTCAACATTCTTGGTTTTCACTGCATAGGAGGCAAACCACTTTTTTACAATGTAAAGTATTGGTATAAATTGTGCATAAAATGGCTTGCAACTGACTGTTCTCCTTTCTCTGTGAACAGCCCAGTAGCAGGTCATAGCCTGGGGAAGGTCCCAAAAACTTTCCCCTCTGGGTTCTACATTTGCTACTGGGTGGATATCCAGATGTCAGGAGGCATTTCTCAGCCCCATGTTCTCAGAGGGAAGGAAATCTTTGAATTCCTGTGCTCGTGTCCCCAGAGCAGCAGGACTCTTTTTGCCAATGGCTGGTGGCAGCACTACCCAGGACCAGAGCTGGGGTCTCTTAAGGGAGATGAGAGTGCGGAGCTGAGGGCTACTGTGGGTTTGGGAGTTAGAGTCCCAGGGCTGGGACTGCTTGCAGACCTGCTGGAGGAAGGCAGCAACAGGGAACTCCCTTGGCATGGGGACACCCACCTCCACGTCACAGTGGCATTATCAGCTTGCTTGCAAAACATCCCAGCCCTGCTCCTGTACTCCTTTTGGGTGGTTGTATGAGAACTGTTGTGTTTTAAGCCTGGTAGTTTTCTGGGAAGACCTGTATAATTTTGTAGTGTTGCTTGAATATCTGCAGGTGAGACTGATTTTCTGTGCTTCCGTTTACTTGAGCTGAGGCTTTGGAGCAGGTAATGGGTAACTATAGGTCACATGCTGCTGCCTACCTTCATTCTCCCAAGAGTTAAATTCTTCTGTGCATCCCCATTTTCACATATTACATTTTCTGAAAATATCAGAAACCACTTCCTCCCTCCATTCCTAGCTAATCTGGCTGTGATTCAGTGGATCAGCCCAGTTTCAGGTCTTCACACAGAGGCTCTTTCCCTTCCCCTTTTCTTGAGGCAATTTCATCCTTTTGGTTTGGTTTGAATAAGGGCTTTTTGTTTTCTGCCTCTACAAGAGACCATAACTGTACCAGCTCTCATCTGTCTGGAAACATCCCAGGAAAGCTAAGGTGAATTGCTTTTGGAGGAGTATTTTTCAGGCCCTTCAGAACCATCGGGAGGTGAAAGAGCAAAATCACCTTTCAAGAGCCCCTAGACATTCAGGGCTTGGCATGGCTGCCAGTCACAGCTGCCTAGTGCCATGTGAGCATCAGAGACATCTGCATGAGATCAGCAGATATGACACATTAGGGAATTAACACATTAGTGTTAGGGAAATCTGTAGCACTAGAGTAAGCTTTGAATGTTGTCTGTAAACATGCAGCTCCCTAGAAGTTAAAGTGTCCACATGGCTATAGTATAACGTCTCCTTGTGCTGGCTTTACACTTCTTTCTTTGTTTTCTGTTTGGTTTTGGGTTTGTTTGTTTTTTGTGGTTTTTTTTTTTTTTTGGTTGTTGTTTTGTTTTGTTTTGTTTTGTTTTGTTTTTTAATTGGGGTTATTCTCCTGCCAGGTCCCTGATCAGGTTGACTGGTGTCAGTTGTTGGCATAAGGATAGAAGGGGGAATGCATGGTCATGGGGAAAAGAAAGGGTAGAGGTAGGACTTGGCATCAGCATGGATGTAGCTTGTTTGATGCTGTTTGAGGAACTGTACCTCTGAAATCACAGTGCAGGATCGCATGCTCCCACAGCCTTCCCTCTCAGTGCTACGTTGTGTGTCATGGGACATGGGTGTGTTTAAAGATGCAGTAAAATCTGATTAAATATGTATTTAGTTACTTCAAGTATTTCCCGACAAACTAATATTATTGTAATATTTTTGGGTCTACTGGAGTAATGAATGTAAGAAGCCACCACATGTGGACTTTGTCTGCTTAATAGGAAGTATATGTAATTGCCTCATTTTAATCCTTCTTTATTTCCCTCAGCTCTTCTCAAGGGTTGTTTATTTCTTTCCAATATTGTTGTTTATGGACAAAAACATTTTGCAAGATTAGTTGAGATTATTATCTACAATACTGATCTTGGTTTGACTTTGTATCAAAGAACAGCTGGTTGAAAATAGTCAAGGAAAGCTCTCATGTAATACTTCTGTAACTCAGTATTTCACACGGCTGTTGTGTGTAATCACTGTGTGTAGTTGTTCAAGTGCAGAAGTTGAGCTGGAGATGGAAATTCATTTCACCTCTGTTTCTTTTTCCTCCTTTGCCTGTCTCTTAATAAACTCAGAGTTATTACTGGCTGCCCAGACACTCATCTCAAGAGATTGTTTTATTTCGTGGGTTGTGGTAATAAATCATTTTGGCTCTATATTTGAGGTTTAAAATGTTGACAGCTCCTTGAGATGGATCTGTGGCCTCTTGTCCCGTGACAATATATCATAGTCTGTCACAGGCCATACGTGCAGGTGGTGAGTATGTACAGCCAGGAAACCCGAACCTTTGCGTGGTCTAATCAGCAGGTGGTGGTGGCTGCTATCGGGTGTGATGAGAAATCCCACATATTAAACACATTGTTGTGAGGTCTTTCTACACTGCCTTCCATTGTATACATGAAATTAGATTTCATATGAAGAGACACAATTAAGGTTTTTATCTCGTTCTGTTCAAGGAGAAAGTCTTCAGTGCTTCAACTCACCCCACCTTGCTAAGGGCTTGGTGCCTAGTGCCACTGAACCCCAGCAAGGTGAGGATATGGTTTGGTGCCGGTTTCTTCCAGTGGCAGCATGGTCCCTGCTGGTACTTCTGCCACCATGGGGGCTGATGCCCCTGTGCTGTGAGGGACCCAGTGCAGGAAGGCAGGGAGCTGCCACCATGGACAGGATTATTTCTCCATTACCCTTGGCTGAGGAACCACACCAGAAATAGTGAGGACCTTTTCAGCTGTCACTGCCACCAGAGAAAAGAAATATCATGGCATGTCCTACAAACATTCATCAAGTTATTTTAAGCACTTAGACAATTAAATTTCCAACCATGGTTTTAAATCAGGGAAAGCTCTAGAGCAAGCCAAAGTGTCCATGGAAGTATGGGTGGGAACCAAAAGGGCAGTGTGGCCACAGCACACATGGGTTTCAACCAGGGCAGCTTTTCTCTGGAAGAAGCAACCACCAGATATTATCAGGCTATTAAAGGTGAAGGCAAACCCTTCTGTTTTTTTCCACTTTTCCACTTCAGGTGTTTTGTAGGGGATTTTTAATGCCAGTGTCTCAGTCGCTGTAGGGTACTTTATGCTGCAGCCTGCTCCGTGATGGACCGCAGATGTTAACTGTTTCAGTTTAATCAGTAACTCATTCCCTGAGCACGGGGAGAGTAGAGGCAAACATGTCCTCACACAGGTCCATGTTGCTGTACTCATCTGTGAAGATTAAGGTGAAAGTCTTGATCAGATGAAAGCTGCTATTACTTGTTTGACTGGTTTCTGCAGACAGTACAAGCTTTTCTGTCAGTCACCTTGACATGATGACCACAGCTCCTTATTCTAAAACTATTCATTGAAAGTAAACAAGGGTATCAAAACACTGGCTGTTATTTCATGGTGTTCTTTACCTGTCAGATTTCAGAGTTCACACAGTTTCAGTTTCCTTCATCATATGGGGCAATGTTTATGTGAGAAAATTCATACTGTTTTTTTAGGTGGGAAATGTGTATTATTTTCACCTCTTATAAATCAAAAGGTAGGAAGAAGACTTTTTTCAGCCTTTCAAATACACCCTTTCTGAATCAGTCATAGGGAATCCAAAAGTCAAAGTTTATAATGAAGAATCATTGCAAACAGTTGCTACCAGCACTGACACATGCTCTTCTAGTGGTGTTCTACTGTTGGGAATCCAGGAATATGCCCATGGCTTAGTCCCCATTTAATTAGGCTCTGCTAGAAAAGGATGTGTCTTTGGGTCATAAATGCAGGGCTGTCAGCTGGGCCAGCTTTGCACCCAAGCTTTCAGGCTCTGCCAGAACTGTAAGTCTGATCTGCTAAGGGTTGTGCTCTGATTAGTTTCAGTGTGAGAGAGAAGTTGACAGGAGAAAGCAAAATAGAGCACTAGTTAGAAAGGATCACCTACCTTTTTTACAACCTCGTACATCCATTCTGCCTTGCCAAACGTCAACTGTCCCTGCAGATGTAAAGATCACAAGAAGTTTGGTGTGAAATGAGCACACATCTCATACAAGCTGCCACCTCCAGATTAAAGGAAGATCAGCTGCTGCATGGGAACTGATTCATTACTCAAAGGTAAGGGGTGTAAGTATGGGAGAGACTTACCCCTTGCCTGTCCCCTTGCACGGTACCATAAACAGGTTTGTATTGTCACGACTCTCTAATTCCTCAGGGAAATGCAGCTTTTTTCCTTCAGTCACCGCAAGCAGAGTGGAAGTAAGTCATAGAACTGTATATCCCTCTGAATACAGAGGAGGCAGGGGATGGGGCAGAAGGTCTGGAACAGGAACAGATGCCCTGTGTGGGAGAGTAGCCCAAAGACTGGAGGTAGCATGTTGCTTTCCGAGCCAGCCTGGGGAGTGTCCTGCTTATCCACTTTCCACCAGGGACTTACTCGGGGTCCCAGAACAGCCTAATTTCCTACTGCTGTGTTATTGGCACACCTCTATCACCCTGCTTTGG